ATACATATGTATATGCAAGAATTGCTCATTTTATATTATAAAAGAAAATTGAATTATAACTTATTATTTAACTTAATAAAAATTATACAAACTGCAAATAGAGCACGCTCTTATAGATACATACATACACGTAGTTCTTCCATTAAGCAAGTGTTTGTGTAGCAATTAAGTACCTATTTGCCGACGGTAGAAATGGAACAGGCGTTAGGGCACAAAATAACTTATGTTAGGTTTGTATTTTCCCAATTTCCGCGTAAAACTTTACACATTGTTTTAATTGATTTACTTATATGATAAGTATTAATAACTGATTTCCTTTTTATGCTCATCACACAATGAATGCCCCCAGCGGGACTCGAACGCGCGACCGCTGGCACGCTGGCACAGCAAGTGCACACTACACACTGAGCCAAACGTGTCGTCAATTGGATTATCTTGTTAAATGTGCTTTATCCAAAAATAAAGGTTTTCTTAATTAAATCACAACTAAATACTTTCTTAGATATACGAATAATAAATATTTGAAATTTTAAACAAAACTATATTTTCGGAATACGAATTTTTTTAGATTTTTTGATCCGAACAGATACTTTTATTTAAAATATTTAAATTTTGATTTGTTTTTAAGGATAGTAGGTATTTATTGCTAGCACTGAGTATTTCTTTTGTCAAAAAAATGTAACACTATAATTTACAATAAAACTTCGGATTTTTTCAAGGTTTGCTATTTTTATTTATTAACATTTGTTTTCTTACTACTTAGTATACAAATTGTAATTTAAATACTATTTTACAAAATTATTTGACTTTGTGTTTAGTTTTATGATATTCTGTCTATATCATTTCTTAGTACGAGTTAAACTCATAATAATTTTAAATAAAACTATATTTTAGGACATTTACGTGGATTTATTTTAATTCTTGGTTCTCGGCGTTTCGAATGTTTTACAGAAATCAATAGTCATAGAAGAGATTCTCCAATCAGTAACGTTAAGAACCAAAAAAATTAAATAAATCCGCGAAATAATCCGATTCATCGAATCGAATCGATATTCGCGTAAATCTAAGCAAATATAAAATGTATAAAAAATAAAAATTATAATACATTTGTATAAAGTTCAAAATATTTAGCCAGACTTAAACTTCTCGTACCTCATTACTAAAAGCAAACGTTGGCTGATGTAGATATCCCTACACGAAGCGAGCGGAACTCGACGGACCAATTAATCGTTGATTGAACAAACGATTATTGAAATCCTTGGCTGTGTAAATTTGGTCTAAGCGTTACGTTTTATAGGTCGGTGCTTAATTGTTCTTTCTCTATCTAGCTTTAAATTTTTTTACTACTTCTTTTTGAATTCTTATACATTTGAACTCTAATTATAACTGAAATAGTGTTTTAAAAATGTACGCTATATAATCTATACAGATAAATAAACATGAAGTGTCTATTATGTTAAAATAACAGCTTTTTACTAATGTATATGAAATTATATACGGTACTTATAAGAAAAACACAACTTTTAAATTTTGGTTTGTCTGTCTGTTTGTCTATATGTCAGGGTTAATCTCCGAAACAACTAGACTGATTTTGACGAGACTTTCACTTCACTGACAGTTAGCTAATGTCATAAGGAGTAACTTTAAAGGCTACTTTGATTTTAGAAAAAAAAATTGGGTTGCTCTCAAAAAAAATTAAAACGTACTTAGGGACGCACCCGAGCAAAGTAAATGTATAAATTTGAAATACAATTCATATAGATAATAAATATAAAATGAATATTTTTATCTGTTTAATACGACTTTAGAAACTTAAACAATAGAACTCAAAGAAGCGGTGCTTTATATGTAGCTTTCACGCTTAATCCCTCGACGACCGCGGGCACACTAAAACATTTTATAAAAACTAGACACATGTGACTCATCATGATGAGTTCCTAAATAGGACGATTTTTTGCGACTAATTACAAAAATATCATAATACTACGGCACGGTACCTTATTCACGTAACATGTTTATATTTATCTTTTTGACATTAACACGTCATGGCGCCATCTAGTTCCATGGTAAGCTACGAGGCTTGTGTTATGGATACCAGATAGTTGATACACTACACTTATATAACTTTAAATACATACATATTATAAATATAAACACCCATGACCAGAGTACAAACATTCGTGCTCATCACACAAATGAATGCACCCAGCGAGACTCGAACTGCCACTGCTTGCACAGCAAGTAAGGTCACTACAAACTGAGCCAAACGATAAAAGTAGTTCTTAAAAAATCCTCCGAATATAGAATTAGAATTACCAGCACAAAATGTAAGCGCAGTTGAAATCGGACGTATCTATCGAGACCAAGCTCACTTTTTACGAAATTCACATTTTGTGAATGAGAACGTCCTCGATTTTGAAAATTCTTTTTATTCATACTACCTGTTCCCAACCTGCTTGGGGGCTTAGTTTTGAAACCGACCTGGGTTTGACATATATTTTTGTATTCTTCTACTTTATGCGGCGTTACGAATGTTATGATTTCATTACATGAAGAAGCTCACAATTTTAATTAATGTTATTAAAAATTTTTTTTACAAAAAACTGTTTTTATCAAAGTTGTTTTCATGTACGCTTACTTATATAGTTTGTAATTTATTTAAGTTTAGCGATGAATTCATAAATAATAAAGATATTCAAAGTGATATTAATTTTTATGTGATCGATACATATCTAAAAAGCCTCATTAGTGGTTAGCTCGACTAGAGACATATAATCCTCTCTCCTCCTCTTTTACCACATATGGTAACACGTGAGTAATATGTTTAGTACTTTAAGCATGCATGCTAAGGTAACCTCTTACCATCGAACAGACTGTATATTCATTAACTGCTTTTGTGATATATTTTTTTCTATACATAATAGAGAAGTCCTATGATATACGTTACGGTGATCAATACTGCGGTCATAATAAAGAAGGCCCCAACAAACAATTTGGTCAATAATCACTTAAGTGCAGATTCGGAATCAGCAAAAAAAATATTTTTGACAGTCGTACTCACAAAGCTCTAAGTCTTATGAATCCGGAAATACCATAACCATTTTCATCGTAACAACGTACAAATCACTACTAAGTACTAAAACAAAACTTCCTAAACTAAAAAAAAGTTGCGGTCTTCTTTTTTATGACCGCAGAATAGGCAATTATAGGATACTATAATCAAGCAACTATCTACAGTCTGGTAAATACTTACTTTATACTTACTATTTCAAGACAGAATCTAGTGCTTAAGACCAAATTTTCATTATAATTTTGCAAAAGTAATAAGTTCAATAAATCTCACCTGAAATACCAATCAACGTTAGCATCCGTCCCATATGTTACTTTCCAAAGAACCCTTTCGAATCATAAAACTTGTTACCCAAGAGATTTATTGAACAAAAACTTCATAGAACAGCGAATTAAGCAAAAGTTATATGAAACCTGAAATTATATTGTTAGTGACACTTTTGCTTAGTTTGCGCGGTTCGTCTATTTTTTCTTACAATTTATTTATATCTCACGGGAATAATGTGATACATCGGAGTAAAAAGTATTTTGTGTCACCTAAAGTATCTAAATCCATCTAATTTTGGCTTATTTTCGCGGAGGAGACCGATCTTTCATGTACCCCGTGACTACGATTCAAAATCTGAAAAGATAATTTTATTTATATGGTTAACTAGCATTGCACGCGGCTCCGCCCGCGTTCAGATGACCAAAAACCAAGTTCTTAGGTTTTACATATTAGTATACTCTTACATTATAGTTTTTGTATTTTTTCTCAGAAATGCGACATTTTCCCGCGGTAAAAAGTATTCTATATGTTGACCCGGATAACCAACTATCACCATACCAAATTTCATCAAAATCCCTCCAGTGGTTTTTCTGTGATGCGGTAATAGACAGACAGACAGAAATTGTAAAAACTATAGATTCGTCCTCTGTATCGATAATAATGTCTATTTCAATAAGATTTTCCAAAAAATATTTAATATACAGATTCGGCTTAGTTACAATTTTATTATATGTATAGATAAAAATTATTCCCGTAAATCAAAGAAATTATTATATTTCTAGATATAGAAATAAATTTTAGCTTTTACTATATACCATTAAAAAGAATTCCAGTTAAGTCTTAAAAAAAAAGTTTTTACGAAGCTTTTAATTGACTCTCAATGTCTCTTATGTTTATCAAGATGAATCCTTCTTCATGGAATTATAAGGACCGTAGATATTTTAAAGATTCTTGGAGCCGAAGACGAAAACATATATGTAGATGAGTATTCGTTTAATTTTTCTTTCATTTTGAATGTAATATTTTAAACTATGTACCTTAGCTATGTTAAGTTAAAAGTTTAGAGTATAAAGATAAATGTTTATAGTTTAGTTTTTACGACACATTTGGCCAGCGATCGCGGGTTCGAGTTCTTGCTGGGCACATTCATTTGTGTGATGAACACATGGGTGTTAATATTTATAATATGTATGTATTTAAAGTTATATATGTGTAGTGTATCAACTATCTTATATTCATAACACAAGCCTCGTAGCTTACCATGCAACTAGATGATGTAGTGTGGTAATGTCCCAACATATTTGTAGTTTTCAGAAATAATAAATATAGGGTACGTAGATAGCTATCTTTATATTCAAAAAATATATGAATAAAATATATGGACTTTAAGTTTTGTCTTCTGTATAACTCACAGCGTAATCTGCCTTATGGTACTGGTTTTTATATTTTATATAGAAAGGGATGTACAGGTGAAGTCACAGGACTAGAGGGTATACAGTATATAGGGTAACAAATATATTATAATTCCAACCTAGAACGTTAATAAGGTAACAGTGTTGGAGAATAAGTGTTGTTTGTATAAATATTACCAGTTACATACATATTTAATTTTTGATAATTTGAGTAAAGAATTATCGAAAGGTCCTTATCAAACGTACTTACAATGCTACATAGAAACAATGGACTTGCCCAGGATAATGCTCATAACTGCAAAGTGGAGGAGACTAAGTCTGAAGGCAGACCCTGGCAAAAGCCGGGATTGATAAATGCCAGGCAGAAGAATAAGAAGAAGATAGCTCCAATGGTATCCGGTAAGTGTTTATCCCCTGCACGACCGCGGACACGCCGGCGTTACAGTTAACAATAGATTTCTTAGTTGATTAATTTCTTAGAAATTTAATTAATTTCTTAGAAATTTACCTGGAAGTGTTAAGAATATAAGTTATTACGGAGGTGTTAACAGGCAGATGTTCCTGTATATGGCAATAAGTTAAAAAAGCAAGTACCTGCAGCATGTCAGAAACTTCGCAATGCGAGTGAGATTACATAAGAAATGTAATACAAAATCAGTCAGTTATTAATTACTATAAAGTATATCCATTTTCATCCTGAAAATTTTAATTCAAAATGATTCGGTGTAGCAATTATTTTTACGGAAGGTTAAATACGAGGTGCGGACGCGGCCGCGGTGACAGCTTGTGGCTGTCACCACTTGTTTTATAGCGCGTGCCCGTTGTTAAATCAAATATGAATTAAACTTAAAATCTAATATTTTCTTAGATTTACGCGAATATTTGATGTTTTAAAATGAAACTATTTTTTCGGATTTTGTAGCGATTTTATTTTATATTTTTATTCAACATGGTCACGGGAGAGACTAAGGTTTTAGACGTTTTAAAGTCAACTCAATTCAATTTTCTTATTTAATGGCTTCAAAGTGTGCCAGTTGAGCACAGATTATTTCGCAAATGTCACGTAGAGTGACATATAGTTGCTACAGACAATACCTACCCACAACTTTATACAAAAATTTGAAATAAGTAGACAAGTGGCATCGGAATACCTTACAATATCTTTAACCTTTAATTAAAAAAAAATATATTTAATTGAATATTAAATATTATATTTTAATTATTTTTTTCATGGTTAAATTCTTAAAATATTAAAAAATATTATTATAAGATTAATTAATCTTATTTAGTGTTGCTATTACTATATATACTATACATTTTATTAATAGTAACAGCAATAATATATATCATTTAAAAATTTTAATGTATCTAAAGCTTTGTTACTGATATGGTATTGTGGTTGAATGGCATTAATGTATAATAGTACTGAAGTAATGGGTTCATTTCTTAGACATGGTTAACTTCAATTTTCGATGATGCAATATTATCCTAGTATAATTGATCTCTAGCGTCTCACCCTCGCCTCACTCGGGTTCGTCCCTAGGTTGATTCCCCATACAAACTTTCAACCTCATTTTAACCTCCTTAAGGGATAATTTCCGAGATAAAAACTATCCTATGTCTTTCTCAGAGTCTCAAACTATCTTCTTACTAAATTTCATCTAAATCAGTTTTGTAGTTTCGGAGCTTATTCGGTACAAACATACAAAAATTTGACAACGTCAATAAAAATCTCTCCTTGTTATCGAAATATATTTTAAAATATACCCAAAAATAACATGGTAATGTGAACTTTTGTACAAAAATATATTGTTAAAAGGGCTAGCCCAAAAATTGTAAGGGCATAATATTTAACACCTCAGACAAAGAAAGACGATGAGCTGAAGCGAGGGTTGGACGTTGTAGGCGGCCCGGATGTAAGGGTTTTGCCAAACTTCAGCAGTACACTGAAGATGTACTGCGCCGATGATAGATTTGGGAAATGGCGCTGGGTGAGAAGGCACGCTCCTGAGCTGAATATACCTTTGCACATGTATATCATTGCAACAAAGTTTTATATGGTATTTTGCTATATTAATGGTATCACTGTAAGTATAATGGTACTAAAGTAATGAGTTAATTTCTTAGACATGGTTAACTTTAACTTTCGATGATGCAATATTATCCTTATATTGATCACTAGCGTCTCACACACGAGCAGATGAGCTGAAGGGTTTTTACTTTTACATATATTTTCAAATTTAACGATAATTTCCGAGATGGACGTATCGCGTGACCTTTTCCAGAGTGGCGCGAATGCGACGCTCGCGCCGAATCAGTTCTAGTAGTGAGAAAGCAATATACAAACCAAATAAAAAATCGTCGCGCCCGAGTTTCTGGTTGCGAACATATATACTTTGTAAAATCTTGTTAGATATTAATTGTTTTAATTTATTTAAAAGCTTTTTAGTTCATAAAGAAGTGTGGTAGTGATATGGCACTGGAGATAGAAGTGAAGTTACATAGTCCAAACTTTAGAGATAGAAAATTTTATTATTATTCATAGAGATGCTTATGATTGAGTTAGTACGTAACAAGATACTTTGTAATATTTTATTAGGAAATAGGTAGCTTAATCTCTTTCAATATAATCGGTGATAGACGCAAGACCAGCAGTGGTGTACACACTGCCAACTTTCCAACTCCGTCCTGCTATTAAGTATGTTATGAATAAATATCTTCACCCGACTCGGGACTCGAACTCACGACCTGTAACCGTAAATTCTATTCACTAAATCAACGTGACAGTCCGATTCTGCGATAATAGACTCTTGGTAATATTAGCATGAATAGTGGCTTGACTGGAGAAGTACCACCCTTAATCAAGTATTAGTACCCGTATTGTCATATCATGTGAATATCCTGGTATTGCCAGCGTTCCTTACATATTTAAAATTATTTCTTAATATTAGGAAGGCTGTATGTTTATTTACCATTCTTCTAAAATAAAAATATATTAAAAATAATAAAAAAAACTGCCGTGGTAGGTTGGATACATTTGTACAGTGACATTGCGTGATTTGCAAACGGCGCCGACGTACATAACTACGTCATAACGTAATCATGTCGAAGGCGCTAATTTCATATTAAAAGCAGCTATTAATGAATGTCGATGGCCTGAAATATACGGTATTTTATAACCATCGTATTTTAGCACTTGGGAAAGTTTATGGGAGCGTCTTTCCTTTAAATTAGATGTGATTGTTTGATTGTTTTAAGGAAATTATGCGTGTCGTTTGAGAATAGGATAATCATAAAAATCTATTTTAACTAAAATGGTTTAGTTATAAACTGAATATATTTACTTCAAAGACTTTATTATCGGTACGTATTAAAAGAATATTTTTACTGATCGATACACAGGTAGTGGTAACTTGCTTGCACTTGCTTGGAAAACTAAGAAAACCGGGTTCGAATCAACCATCTACACTACTATTATAAAGAGGAAAGATTTGTATTTTTGTATAATTTTTTTATGGTTCTGAATGATAAACAAGCAGAGAGCCCACCTGATGGTAAACGGTACCTGTCGCCCATAACACCTACGGTTCATGTACTTAGGTTTTATGTAACAAAATTGCAAAACCACCGGTACGTTATCACTGTGAGGATTAAGATAATATGCCTCTTGTCTGTAATTGCGCTGGCTACCTTATCCTTCAAACCGGAACACAACAATGCAATCATTGTACTTGGCGGGAGAAATAGATAAGGGTGTTGTGCCGATCCAATCAGACTGTTCAGGTTTGGCAGAGTCCTACCACCGGTAGAAAGTGCTGGACCGATTTAGATGAAAGGACATAGAATATTTTTTATATCGGACGGCATCCCTTAAGGAGGTGAAAATGGGGATGAAAGTTTGTACGGAGATTCCACCTAGGGATGAACCTGATCGAAGCGAGGGTGAGTTGCTAGCCCTTCATATTTTTATGTGCGTATCATTTTTAACATCATTACTACTTACCTGCTAGTGAAAGAAAACATTGTGAATAAGCCTGGATGTCCAGACATACAGTCCACAAGTGGGTTTCACGTCCACGACTTTCGCATTCAACCAGATAAATTATTATTAGTTGAAGCGATACGAAACTAAAATATTTATAAAGTGGAATTGAAAAATTGTATTTACCGATATCGAAACCGCAGTAAATCGTTTAAACGTTAAAACACTTTGCTGTCACTTTCAATATCACAGACTAATAATTTATCGGAAAAATAAATTAAAATCAAAACTTTCACCTATAAGTGACGTGTGACACATGGCGGTGAAGTATGCACAAAAGAACTCCTTTATGAGTTACTTTAACATATTTTCAAACAAAATTATAGTTTAAATATTTTGATTTATTTAACAAAGAAGTCACTACCTAATATACCTAATATGTGACATTAACACACAGCACCATCCAGTTCCATGGTAAGCTACGAGGCTTGTGCTATGGATACCAGATAGTTGATACACTACACATATATAACTTTAAATACATACATATTATAAAAATAAACACCCATGACTGGAGTACAAACATTCATCACACAAATGAATGCCCCAAGCGGGACTCGAACCCGCGACCGCTGGCACAGCAAGTAGGGTCACTACAAATTGAGCCAAACGTGTCAACAACAACGTGCCAAAACATATCATAAAATAAAGTCCTCCTGCCGCGTCTGTCTCTCTGTCTGAACTACCAAACAGATTTTCAATACTGAAATCTTTTACTGTTTTCATGAAACTTTGAAATTAAAAAAAAAAAACATAAAAACATTAATAAAACTGACTTCCAGGCACTAAAATGAAAAAAATAACTAAACGGGGGTTATCATTTACAATAGATACCTAATCAGATATTTTTGAAATCGGTGCCAGCCGATGCAAAGCAAATCTATTATATCTCGATACGTAAAATATATTTAGCTATTAGATACCTATATAGCTTAAATTATTGTAAGGTGCTCTTACATACATTTTTCATTTGTAAAAGTATATATTACTAGTTATGCTTAGTAATTTGTCTTTTTAAATAATAGCAAACAAAATTAAAATTATTATCCTTAATTAATTTTAACTTTTTTAAATTACACATAGAACAATTATTATATGGCTGTTATATTTTTCTTTATAGTTATAAACATAATAATGGCAACACTAAATCATTATTTAATATTTTTAAAATTGTAATACTTATAATAATAACAGCAAAAATTTAATAAATAATATTCCATATTTAGTTATAAAACTAATTAAAATTATAAAAATGTTTAAGGTTAAAAAATATTGTAAGGTAATTGGAGTAATTTTCATTTTGTTATTTGTGGGTAGGCTGTCTATAACAACTATACCTTCGAGACATCTAATACCTTAGTCTCTCCCGTGAAGCATTCGAAACGTCGGGAACCACAAATCCAAATAAATCCGCGAAGAAATCCGAAAAGATAGTTTTATTTAAAATATTTATATCTATTTAAAACGTACCTAGCGACGAACGATAGATTGAACGAGCGGAGCCTCAAGAAAAGCTAGTACAACACAAATGAGAAAAGAGAAGCAATAAACAAACATATTCTACCATTTCACTTATATATATTCATTCGAGGG